GCATGTGTTTTGCTTTCCTGGATTTTTTGTAGGACATGCTTGACATTTTGCTGCTCTTGGTGTTTTGTCCGGAGGTCCTCATTATATTATACAATGTGTAGTTAAGAAGAATATAAAGAGACTGGGCGTGGTGGTACACTCTTATAATCCCAGCTCTTGGGAAGCTGTAAACAGGCGGAGCACTGAGTCCGATGGAGTAGTGAAACCCTGAACACCCTGTAGACCCTTCCCTAAGATACCAAAAAAAAAGTCTTAAAGGTAACATAATAAATAAATTCCTAAATGAACTTTACAAAGAAAATAGTCTATGCTTCAATTGTCACATCCAAGGCAGACTGCACACATGACAACCGCATGGTCCATGCATACATCTCTCTTTCACTGAAAGCATATGTGCTTAGCTTTCCTTTCCTATGAGGCAGCCCACGCTTGTCACCTCTCTGTCTTCCAGTTCTGTCAGGAGCTACCTGCTATACTGTAATGTGCACTTAGTAGGGAAATAAGATGTCAGTTAAATATCAAATATGCAATTAATGCTTCCAAAGACATCAACATTTTCAACAGTTTTGGACCTAGTTCTTTTTTTTTTTTTTTTTTTTTCTTCTATATTTTACGGAAAGGTCTACAGGGTGTTCAGGGTCTCACTACTAGATGGGACTCATAGTGATCCTCCTGTTCACAGGCTCCCAAGGGCTGGGATTACAGGTGCACACCACCACGCCCAGTCTCAATTGCCATCTCAGTGCACCCTGGGGGCTGGGCCAGCACGGCAGGCCCAGAGTTTGAACCCCCGGCCCCTGTGCCTGCTTGCAGGCACTTTAATCCACTGAGCTATTTGGTAGGCCCCTGGACCTAGTTCTAACATTAGATCATTCCATTTGGCTGCAGGCATGAGATTTATCAATTAAAAGACAGTTAGGAAAAGTATTTTATTTTTTTCACACTCACACCAAGCATAAACACGGAGTGAAGGCTGGCACTGCAAGGCACAGGCAGGCATGGGCACTGCCAGGGATGAGCAGCTGTGGGTGGCAGGAAAGGGGGCTCCATCCTGAGGGCGAGGCTGACTCAGCTGTGCTGACTGTTGTCATTTGGAGATGCAGACTCAAGTCAGCTAGTTCTTCCAATTATTTTCCCCCAAAGAAAATCTATTTTTTTTTTTAAATTCCAAAATGTTAAATATTGGCTCAAAACTTAAAGACAAAATATGTATGCTTGCACGTACATCTTGGCTATGATATATCACAGATGTGAAAATGCTGATTTAGATTTTTTTTTCCTCCCCACTCATCCCCTTCCCTTCCCCTTCCCCTCCCCCTCC